ATGCCGGGTTGAAAATCATAAAAATATTGGTTCATTTCTTTCGTATTTGATATAATCCAAGTCGTTCGTTCTCGAATCGACTGCCGCGAATGTTCTCTTCCAGTCTTTGCATCTCTTCCATGATCAGTCGTAATCAACAATAACCAATCTTCATTAAAATACTTCATCCGATATTCAATCGCCTGCCAAATTCTTCCAATTTGCTTATCAAGACTAAGAACCGACCGAATAAATGGTTCGCTATCACCATAAAAATGTCCCATATCATCTGTGTATTCCAAATAAACCCACGAAAGATCCGGTGCATCCGTTCGAATACACTTCGTTGTTTCGTTTGTCACACGTTCATCAATATGAAAAATATGACGAGCATATTTATCCCGAGGATAAGTTATCCGGTCTAGTTCGTACCCATCAAATTTATAATCGAATGTAATGTTCCCTGCTTCGGCTAGACCTTCACCGATTAATTTCACACGATTTTTTACCCAAGTCGAGAAAATTCCAATCTTCTTCTCGGGTTGCTGTTCTTTTAACAATCGGAAGATATTTTTATAATAATAATTTGGATTTCGGACGTGATTATTATAAACATTATGTTTATTTCCCCATGTGCCTGTCAATAAACTCATGTAGCCTGGTGAGGAGATGGTCGGTGTTTCAGTATACATTCGTTTCTCGCCACCAACATACGCTCGAGTATACGCACCGATGTCTTGAATGCGTTTCATATGAATAATAGAAACATTTTCAATAACATCTGCTGGAATACCATCAGCAACGATGAATAAAACTTTTCTCGTCAGTTCTTCATGAATAACTTCAGTAGTTGAATATGTAGCTGAGAGAAAAAACCGTCGAAGAAGATCGAGTGTTTTATATTATGACAATTACTTTGCGTGTTATTATCCAATACGGAAGTCGTCAGTGTAATATCATTAGTTGACATCTGAATGCTAATGATTGACTCTGAAGAAGATTATTTGTATAAACAAATATATAAATATCAACTGACACTACTACTTACCAGTTGAAGATTCTGTCGACATTGTCGTCTGTTCGATGTTAAAATCAGACATCGGCAGATTCGTAGTAAAAATGATCCATAGAATCGAAGAGAGTAAGACAATGAAGAGTGTGAGAAAAAGAACCAGAACGCATAGTAATTTTGTGGTGGTCCTTATCGGAGAAACTATACTTGAATCGTAAGTATAATATTGTGTTGGGATTATATTTGAATGGAATTGTCCTTTGGAGGTTTTGATACTCAGAATAACTAAATTAAGAACCGGTTTTTTAAAGAAATCAAAATTGAATTCGATTTACTTTTCTCATCATAGGACAATAACAATGATGTTGGATCAGTAGACATTGAAACGTCTAAAAACAGAATTCATCAATCGTCTCAAATTCTTCTATCAGATAATCTTACATCACAAGTCAATAAGAAAATCAATCTTCCGTTCTCTTCTTTTGTAATCCACAAGTCATTATACCTACCAATCGTCGTGCGATTATCGACTATTTTTTCTCCTGTGATTATAGACTTATTCTTGTTAATTACATATAATAACAATATGTTATTATGTTTCGTATGAATAACTGAATCAACATGTCATTTTGTTTCGTTTGAATGACTTTAATGACGATGTTCTTTTGTCTGCAAGAGAAAACTGAGCAAGTAAAAAAGATCATCAAGTTTATATAGAAGGCGTATCCAAATGAGGATATTCTCTTTCTTCGAGAATGAAAGAAAAATGGAAAGGAGAGAGAGAGAGAAAGAAAAGAAAAAATCTTGTTGATGGTTGACAAATGCATCAGCTTGTTCTTTGCCGTGTAATACGTTTTCCTTTCCTTTCTTCTTTGACAATCTAAGAGATAATTTCTCGTGTTTTGTCATTAAACGTCGGACAAATATGTTGACATGAGAAAAGAAAAATTTTATCTTTTCAAAATGACAGTCTCTCATGAGAATTTCATGTTTAGTCGCGAACAGAAGTAATCAATATCGACATTGAAAGTTCCTTGGAGATATTGGATTGATATTCAACGAAGGAATAATTGTATGGAATGATTTTATTCTCTTCAACGAAGTGACTTCAGATAGAAGTACTGAAAATAGTTGATTCTTTTTCGGGAATGAAGTTTAGCTAAATGGAATATTTTGCTTTATGTTGGATGATTTTTTTCTTTCATAAGTGAATTGCGCATTTTGCATAGTGTGTCATCGCTTAGTAACACTTTGTCAAAGAAATGATTTGTGTCAGAACGGAACCGTTTGTTTTATTCTTTAACAATGATTTGCGAACTATTGACGTAAAACAGTCTGTCATTGTACCTTGATCTAAAGGACTGAATGAGTTTCATAGTACTTGATGAGATGAAAGACAAACGAAAATCACAAGCTTGAGATTATCGATCAATAATAGAATTTGTCCTTGCTGTACCAATGTTTCTTTTACTGTTAAAATTTTTTTCTCGTGAATAGTTTATAATTCACCAGACAACAGTTATATTTTACATCGCGTAGTTTAACGCATGTAATTGTTTTTTGTGTTTAACTGGAAAAATGGTATAAAAGTACACAAGACTATTTGATTCTATGTTCGATACTCATCTTCCTTAGATGTTCATATAATAATACTCCGTTCGGATCATCGGTTCATGCCATTGTCGGACAGCAATGGTCATAGCGTTGTACGTGGAACACTCCGCCCTGCTCTGCTACTCCCATCGCTGGACTGATATGAACACATTAATATATTGCACTGACTTTAGTGCTCCTTTGGATGTGTCTTCTGGCGAATATTATCAAACGTGTACAGTATTGCTTTTGATGGAAATGTCTGATTTCGATGGTTCATTGGTGAGTTCAATTCCACCCTAGTTTCTTTTCTATGAGTATGCTAATCCTGGAGATTGTACTACTCCACCAGTTATTATTGGTATTCGAACAAATCGAGGTAAATTTGATTAATGTTTGAAAAAGACGTTCTATTTACTTTTCTCGCAGCTTTTATTGTTATTGGTTCGCGAAAACGTTACTGGATAAGTCATCACACAAGTTTACTGCTCCGGAAAGAGTATCGTCGAATCCGTTTCAAGCGTACCAGTCGGTATGACAAAAAGTGTCATTCTCAGTCGAAGTAGAGGTCAGTAAACGTGCAAACATGATCAAGATAGTTTGACTGTTGCATCATTTACATGTATTTATCATATCGTTCTTCACAGGATACCTGTTGCCAGCCAATACGGTCGACTATACAAGTATTCAATTAATCAATGATGTATCACATATTTATTCGGTTTGAAGTCGCCTGATGTCATTCGTGTACCAGCAGCGCCATGGCAACCTCGAGCTTTTTATTATGTTACTATGGGAAACGGTATGTGTAGTTGAATATCCTTATATTCCGTGAGTTTTATATGTCGCTAGTGGAGCGGAATTTGTGTGGCAAGTAGTTACGATAGAAGATGAAATCTAATAAATGACTGCAGGTCCCGAGTGTGCTCCCATTTCTGACCCTACATTTTGGATATTCGATATATGGAATACAGCACTCTCATCTACTACAACACCATTCATAACTATTATGGTAACAACAAAGTCAACATCGACAAACAGTATCAATACTTTAGTATATCTAATCGATGATACAGCTTGTTGTCGTCTTAATCATCATTGATATTCTAATTTATTAACAACAGCTGGTAATGATTGAAATCAGTTCTAATCTATCTCTATTCATGACTTCTAACTCTAACTCCAATAACCGCCAGACCCACTATACTCCTGGAGTTACCCCTGAATCCACAGTCGCTGTTTTATATCCCGAGGATCTCGTAAACATCAACATCATCGATCAATACTTACTCACACATTATGTTTTTCGTCGCCTAGGAAGATATGTGTAGACTCGAAATCGTATTCAATCCAGTACATGGTCAAGCGAAGTTAAAACATAAACTTCGAATGAAACGAATTATGCATTAAGAAGTAATGCATTTGTCGGACGACTAAGGACTTATTTTGTTTAATGAATTTTTTAATATTCGAATCAAAAATATTATCAAGAAAAAAGTACGATATTTTTATCGGCTCTCTATGAGTGAATAAAATAATAAAGTGTCAAAAAAAATTAACATATTCGATGCTAAGGTGCATTTTTTTCTTCTAGTACATGAACAGAATAGAGATTGTGATCTGCACCTGACACTTGACAGTTATACGATAGTTGAATTTTCATAAAAAATACATTTGCATACGTATATTTTTACTTTTATGCATACTGAATAATATTTAAAAAAAACATCACGGCGTCTGAATGTAAATATATGGTTATTTTCGTGACTATAAATGAGTGAAAAAGCACGGTTCAAATCATTTTATATCAAATTCACAATGATCGAGAAATTAATTGTCATTTCTTTGATTTTATCGATAAGGTTCTTGGACGCTTCGCATTTTCGTGGCGGTACAATTACATGGTAAGTTCATTACTCTGGTTTTCTCCTTTACATTTCTTCTCGATAAATTTTGTTCTAGGCGCCCATGGAATGCTACACCAAGTGGTTCATCTGCGAATTTTCTCATACGTGAAAGGTTCTCTTGGCGCCGTAGTTTTACCCCTGCGATTTGTTACTGTGACGATACAACTATTGCTACGAAAGGTCTAATAGGAGAGAGTGATTTGCTCAGTTGCACAGCTGGTAGCTGCAGTGCTTGGACTCCTATGAGTACAAGAACATCTTGTACCGATTACAGTACTAAGTTAGATGTCAGCTCGGGCGAACGATTTAACACATCGATATTTCCACTCAATATTTCATTCACCCTTTACTATAGTAATAATGCTTGGCTTAATGAACTTGTGCTAGGTGGTGGTAGTTATTGGTTCATTGCTTGTCGAGTGAATACTGCTCTCAGACCAGATGGATATCTTAACACAAGCCCTGTTGCTGTAACAATTCCTATTGTTTACAAAGAGATCAACATTCAGCATGTTCATGTCATTCAAATGTCGGATTTTGATGGTACAGACACACTCAGATGTCGATGGTCGAATGCATCAGGTAATATCAATCAATACGATGAGTGCGGTGGAATATGTATGGGTGTTCCTGGAGCTAGTCTCATCTCATCAAACTGTACAATCGTATTTACATTAACAGTTGCATACAAATATGCAGGTGTTGCATTACAAATCGAAGATTATTATAGTGCTTCATCCACAACGCCCATGAGTTCAGTACCACTTCAGTTTCTTTTCTATGGTTATCCTACACCGTCAGGTTGTTCTATACCACCGACTATCATTGGTGATCGACCTAATCGAGGTAAATCAGAAATTTAGAGAATATCTTTCTTTGACATCTGTGTCTATTGATTTCATTAGCATGTATTGGTACACCTATTGGCTCGAATGTTACCGAATATGTTATTGTTCAAGTAGGCTGCACTGGACAAAGAATTGTTGAATTTGTCTCCACTTCTCCAATTGGCATGAAGAAAAGTGCAATTCTAAATCCAAGTGCAGGTAAATATAAAACACGCAGTTCATGTGATTTTTATCACTGTTTTGTTGTAGGTATTTATCAGTTGATTTTGAGTTGGATTCCAACAGCTGATCAATACGGACCACAATCATTCTGTGCTGGAGCAGTTGATAACTCGAGTCTTCAATCGAATCAATGGTGCATCACATTCTTAGTTGGATTCGAATCACCTAATGTAATTCAACCAACGTTTGTTCAAGGTTCGGCATCACCTATCGGTACTGTCTTTCAAAACCAGACGACTTTCTCTATTCAAAGTAAGCTCCCTGATATCGGATGATATGTTTCGTTACACCGAGACAAATCCTGCTTTTCATAGCCACCAAGTCTGTGAATCGGCCAACACGTAATGGTACTTATATTTACTTTTGGGATTCTACACTGGGTGGTACACTCGTTCAAAAATATGATTGTGGTTGGGAACCGGAAGTCACATATACTGGATTTACAACTATTATTCGTTTTCCTGTTGCACCATGGATTCGTGGGCATTTCTATTACGTGACATTCGATTATGGTATGTCAATCATAGTCATAGCGTATCCACGTGATATTAGGTAACATTTGTGATTGTAGGTGTAGCAAGTGGAACTGAATATTGTGGTAAATAAGATCCATTCGAATTGTATTAATAAAGCTCACCATTCATCGTAGGACCTGAATCACCAAAAATAACTGATCCAACATTTTGGGTATTCAATATATGGGATCCAGCACATTCGTCCACGACAACTACAACAACTACTCCAATGTCAACTGTTACGGTCACTACACGACCAACATCGACAACCAGCATCAATACTCTTGTAAGTTCATTTACTGCTGATTTTCTGCTCATATCAAGCGCTAAGATTCTTACTGTCTGCAGTTGACAACCACAGGTATAGTTATCACAACGACAACACCTGCTACAACTACCAGCCAGCCATCCACGACGGCATCTTTGGGTAGCCGTTTATCAATCGCTTCCTATCTCATTCATAACTCGCTTATCTCTTATTTTAGTTACAACAATAGGTACAACTGTATCAGTCGTGACAACCGAAGCTGAAATAGTCGTTATCTATCCGACCGATATAGTAATGTTCATTCCCTTCAGTTAGATTTCATATTCATCTGTACACACTATACACATAGGAATCTGCATGTAAAGGATCCATCATCATAGTCACTGTTGTTATGATGACAATAATGGGTGCTGTACAAGCAGTAGTAATGTACGTGACATTCACAAAATTATCGAACATATTCAATCCGTCGAATGTCATCGGCAAAAGACGCCACAAATTGCGAATGAAGAGGATCCTTGCGCCAATGAATTGAATGACTTCTATTCTCTTAAATTTGCACAATTATTTTTCAACTATTTAATAACTCTTCTAATAAAACTAATTACACTTTTTGAACATACGCACACTGTTTTACCACATATCGTTTTTGTTCTGTATTTGTAAAGCTCATACAAGATGTCTTCCCAGACAGTTCATTGAATATAGAATCGGAATTCGCATATCAGATTTAATTATCTAAGCGATTTCTGATTGAGCGTTCGATCTCTGCTTTTTTAGCATTGATTATAACCGCTGTTTTAGCTGCCTCTAGACCTGCAGTTAAGATTGGTTTGGCTCCTTCACGTAATACAGTGTTCGCTGTTAGTTTAACGCCAGCTTGAGCAGCTGTTTCAGCAGCTTTAGTGACGAATGAGCCAATAATCAATGGAGCTGTAACGACATCGATTACAGCAGATGTTGTACTAATAGCAGCATCAGTCATGTCACCATTTGTATTTGATCGTGCTGCTTTTCCACATTGTAGCACAGCATTTGCGACAGAAAATGGAGTACCAAGAACAGGTATATATGATAAACCTGAAATGATTTTGTGCGCCTTATTTGTGAAACAAAATTCACAAATCGCTACACTTCCAAAGTTCTCTTTATTGCAACTGCCACAGTGCCAACTACCTGCCAAATCTAGATTTTTTTCATCTATTAACTCACTAATTTTGACTATTTTGCCGGAACTAAGATAGATGCCTTTTACCAGATATCGTGTAGGTTTTTCTTCTTTTAGTTGAGGTTCTTTTGGAAATCCAATAATTTGAATATCATACCAGGATCCATACGCTAGATCCTGATTAAATTGGAATTCTCTATGGTTTTTCGGTTCTAAACGTTGTAGGAGAATTCCTTGGCCAGGAGTAAAAATGCTTATTTGTTGAATATCAAAATTTTCCAAGCAATCGTTATGCACACTTAATTTTCCACCCATAATGGAGAAAGTGATGCTTTGTTCTTTCTATACGATATCTATAAGTATAAAAACCGATTTTGTATTTTTCTGATGAAAGAAATAGTGGAAATCGTATTTCAAAGNATGGTTTTTCGGTTCTAAACGTTGTAGGAGAATTCCTTGGCCAGGAGTAAAAATGCTTATTTGTTGAATATCAAAATTTTCCAAGCAATCGTTATGCACACTTAATTTTCCACCCATAATGTCGTGTTTTCAGTTACAGGGAAAAGTGATGCTTTGTTCTTTCTACACGATATCTATAAGTATAAAAACAATTTTGTATTTTTCTGATGAAAGAAATAGTGGAAATCGTATTTCAAAGCTAATGGAGCTGGTTTGCTAAAACGAATATCTACTGACTTCAAAATGGCACTTGAAATCATTCTATTTTTTATTATTATTCCATCCAAGGAAATCAATCCACTGGGAAAAAACCGTACGGGAATGATTCATTTCATCAACCAACCAACTAACCAACAAATAGGTGTAAAAATGTCGCTTCAGTGAGAAGAATCTTTAGAATAAAAGCTAGATGCTTATCACGAGCTAGTATCAAATGTTTATGAGACCCAAATCAACGTTCGCCTTGTTGTATAGTGTGAAAGATACTTCAAGATTTTGGAAATAACTTACAGTTCATATCAGCGAATCCCATCATTTCATTTTGCAGACTCTGAGATATCTCGAAAATCTTGCATATACGATGCCATCGTTGATAATACATGAGCAACTATGATATATAAAGGTGATTTTGACCGCATAAGAATAAACAAGTGCTGGTTAGAATATTTTTTCGAACTTTGCGTGTTCGCCAATAACTTCATACTGCGACATAGCACCAACAAAATGATCGGGATGCACAATGATCTCACCGTTTCCAATTTGGTCGTAAACGGCGAACGTTTATGAATATACAACGTATAAATATGCCTTTCTTTCCAGGTCGATAAGTGATAAACCTTATCTTTGTTTATGAAGCACTTCAACACAGGGGAAAAAACCGCTGATTTTTCTGGTTTTTTTTACATAAAAGTGATCGACTGGAAGAACATAGAAATTAGGCAACTTGATAGCCTTGATTGTACTGATGATCATCATAAGCAAGAAAGAGACCTATTGAATTGAATTATTCCATCAACTAAGAATTTTTGTAAGATGTTTACCAGCGACTTTCGACGTACGCACGTTGACAAGATTGAAAGCTTTTGTTTTCTAGTTTTTAACGTGATGATGATATGCTTTTTAATGAATTATTTTCGAAAAAAATTATTTTGTAAGCTATTCTACCTTCTACCATTGTTTTCTTTTCATTAGCACAACCGATTACAAATCCTTTTTAATTAACTTCGTAGGCGTGTGTCGGCTTAGCAATGCACCTCACAATTTGATTAGTACTAGATTGATCATGAAGAGTGATTATTGGCTGAATCATTACTTTAACACAGACACATAAGATCTTATATATGTTGAATAAGAACATGGTGATACAACTGTGTGTGTTGGCAATCGTTATCATAATCCGAGAGTAAATATTACTAAAGATGAACGATATGAAACTTCGAATACTTGTAACAAAATATTTTTCAATCTCATATAAGATATTCGAAAACTTATGCTTTGGAGATTCTCACTAAGAGTATCTATCTCGTTTGACATCGTTGTGTGGAAATAATAGAACCAGGATCGACATTGCATAAGACCTGTAATGAGACACAACAAGTTTCCAACGGGTTGTATGAGATTACTCTGGAGCTAAAATCGGTACTGCAAAATATTAGCGCGAAAAGCGTCACTTTCATTTTTCGTCATACGAAAATGATCTACACCGTTCTTCAATCTCGAACTGTGAGTTCAAAAATAAAATGAAAACTTTCTCTTAAGAATCATACAGGCTGTAGAGTCTAACTGGTCAGATTGAAAGTGTATTACAGTCGTGCTGACGTAATCTTTATAATTATGTACTATCACATGAGAGCTTTCTTGTGCAAGCTAATTGTAAAATAATGTCCAGCTCTCAATTTACCTACAGAAATAGGTACTTTTACCTCCAATTCCAAAAAAAGTCATTTATTTGTACGTAAGGTGCACATACCCGCGTTGTTCTTGTGTTGATTCGAACCCTCAATTTTGTTCAAGGCAGCGAGATCTTGTTTGATTTTTGAAAAAGTAATTCAAAGTGAAAGATGTTCTAACGGAGTACAGAAGGCAATTCTGGATAGTACCTAACGTTCCAACGCGTTAGCTATCACTGGAAGTTTTGCTAGACAGAAAATCAAAGAAAAGAACAGAACAGTAGCTACATATATGACGCTACATATCTGCTTCAAAGTCCATCTAGCCAAACTAACACAAAGAGAGTGCCCGTGTTGATATTATATCTTCTATGACAGATAGCTAGCACAGCTTTGTTAACATTTACGCTACTTTCTTAGACGGAAGAGAATATGTAGAAGAACATGTACACGCATATATGGTAATACACGGCAAAGACCCGCGTTAGTATACTTATCACTACCATCTTGATAACATAAAGAGTCGATTAGCATGATAAGTTAAAATATTGATGGTTAAAAAGAAAAGAAATCAGAATTACGTTAGTTAAACATGTGACATAACCTTTTTAGTACATTAGAAGAAATAACGATCGGACGTAAAAAATATTTCTCTATTATCAATTCATACTCAGATGAAAAATGCATATCGATTAAGCACAATATTATCAATATTATTAACGTTCGAGAGCGTCTATTCATCTAGTTTTGAAGTTTTCAAAGTATAATTTCCTTTTAGAAATAACACCTAACACAGATTGATCAATGTCTACTGAAGAAGAAGCTCTCTTATCCGCATTTCAAAGTAACATCTCCATTATCTATTCGCTCGTTTGGCTTACTAGTCGGACTGATGTCATGGATGAGTACAATCATCTCAATAGAAGTCTTCAAAATCTTATCAATGATTCTCGAATCTTCCAAGAATTCAATCAATGTGAAATGTATCTTAATTCCAGTTCGGCCGATAGTCGAGTAATTCTGATTATTCAAGAAAGTTTCAGTGATTTCTTCATGTCTCACATACATCATCTTCGTCAAGTGTTTACTATTTATATTTATCAGGAAATTAGAAAAGATCATTGCATAAAAAAGTATCAAAAAGTAAGTGAAGATTTGTGTACAATCGATTTGTCTTTGATATTTGTAGATAATTGGTGTTTATGAACAATTAGACGAACTAATTAAGCAAATTAGAAAAGATCGCGAACGACNAAATTGGAATTCTCTATGGTTTTTCGGTTCTAAACGTTGTAGGAGAATTCCTTGGCCAGGAGTAAAAATGCTTATTTGTTGAATATCAAAATTTTCCAAGCAATCGTTATGCACACTTAATTTTCCACCCATAATGGAGAAAGTGATGCTTTGTTCTTTCTATACGATATCTATAAGTATAAAAACCGATTTTGTATTTTTCTGATGAAAGAAATAGTGGAAATCGTATTTCAAAGCTAATGGAGCTGGTTTACTAAAACGGACATCTACTGTCCTCAAAATGGCGTTTGAAATCATTCTATTTTTTATTATTATTCCACCCAAAGAAATCAATCCACTGGGAAAAAACCGTACAGGAATGACTCATTTCATCAACCAACCAACCAAGCAACAGCTGTAAAAATGTCGCTTCAGTGAGAAAAATCTTTAGAATAAAAGCTAGATTCTTACCACGAGCTATAGTATCAGATGTTTATGAGACGTAAATCAACGTTCGACTTGTTGTATAGTGTGAAAGATATTCAAGATTTTGGAAATAACTTACGGTTCATATCAGCGAATCCCATCATTTCATTTTGCAGACTCTGAGATACCTCGAAAATCTTGCATATACGATGCTATTATTGATAATACTTGAGCAGCTATGATATATAAAGGTGATTTTGACGAGTAAGAATAAACAAGCGCTGGTTAGAATATTTTTTCGGACTTTGCGTGTTCGCCAATAACTTCATACTGCAACATGGCACCAACAAAATAATCGGTACAACGTATAAATATGCCATTCTTTCCAGATTGATAGGTGATAAACCTTATCTTTGTTTATGAAGCACTTCAACACGGGAAAAAACCGTTGATTTTTCTGGATTTTTTTACATAAAAGTGATCGACTGGAAGAACATAGAAATTAGGCAACTTGGTAGCCTTGATTGTACTGATGATCATTGTAAGCAAGAAAGAGACCTGTTGAATTGAATTATTCCATCAACTGAGAATTTTTGTAAGATGTTTACCAGCGACTTTCAACGTACGCACGTTGACAAGATTAAAAGCTTTTGTTTTCGTAGTTTTTAACGTGATGACGATACGCTTTTTAATGAATTATTTTCGAAAAAAAAAATTTTACAAGCTATTCTACCTTCTACCATTGCTTTCTTTTCATTATAGTACAACCGATTACAAATCCTTTTCAATTAACTTCGTATAGTCGTGTGTCAGCTTAACAATACACCTCACAATTTGATTAGTACTAAATTGATCATGAAGAGTGATTATTGGCTGAACCATTACTTTAACACAGCCACATAAGATCTTATATATGTTGAATGAGAACATGGTGACACAACTGTGTGTGTTGGCAATCTTTATCATAATCCAAGAGTAAATATTACTAAAGATAAACGATATGAAACTTCGAATACTTGTAACAAAATATTTTTCAATCTCATATAAGATATTCGAAAACTTATGCTTTGGATATTCTCACTAAGTGTATCTATCTCGTTTGCCATCGTTGTGTGGAAATAAGAGAACCAGGACCGGCATCACATAAGACCTGTAATGAGACACAAAAATTTTCCAACAGGATGTATGAGATTACTCTGGAGCTAAAATCGGTACTGCAAAATATCAGCGCGAAAAACGTCACTTTCATTTTTCGTCATACGAAAATGATCTACACCGTTCTTCAATCTCGAACTGTGACTTCAGAAATAAAATGAAAACTTTCTCTTAAGAATCATACGGGCTGCAGAGTCTAACTGGTCAGATTGAAAGTGTATTACAGTAGTACTGACGTAATCTTTATAATTATGTACTCTCACACGAGAGCTTTCTTATGCAAGCTAATTGTAAAATAATGTCCAGTTCTCGATTTACCTACAGAAATAGGTACTTTTGCCTCCAATTCCAAAAAAAGGTCATTTATTTGTACGTAAGATGCACACGCGTTGTTCTTGTATTGATTCGAATTTTCAATTTTGTCAGAGACAGCGAGATCTTGTTTGATTTTTGAAAAAGTAATTCAAAGTGAAAGATGTTCTAACGGAGTACAGAAGGCAATTCTGGATAGTACCTAAAGTTCCAACGCGTTAGCTATCACTGGAAGTTTTGCTAGACAGAAAATCAAAGAAGAGAACAGAACAGTAGTTACACATATGACGCTACATATCTGCTCCAGAGTCTATCTAGCCAAACTAACACAAAGAGAGTGTCTGCGTTGATATTATATCTTCTATGACAGATAGCTGGCAAAACTTTGTTGACATTTACGCTACTTTCTTAGACGGAAGAGAATATGTAGAAGGACATGTACACGCATATATGGTAATACACGGCAAAGACCCGCGTTAGTGTACTTATCACTTTCATCTTTATAATATAAAGAATCGATTAGCATGGTAAGTTAAAGTATTGATGGTTAAAAAGAAAAGAAATCAGAATTACGTTAGTTAAACATGTGACATAACCTTAATAAGTTAATAATTAGTTTAACAGCAGATTCAAATTTCATTCTAATTCTTATTTATTTGACTAATGTTAAGCTTTTCGAAATATTTCGTTTCATCGTCAGACAAGATCGAATTAACAAAGAATACATAAACACATACATATATAAGCAAAAGACATTTTACAAAAGTAAAGACCTCCAAATAGAATGGAAATTTGCTTTCGAATAAATTTATTCAACAGCATTTTATGTATTCTTTGTTAATTCGATCTTGTCTGACGATGAAACGAAATGTTTCGAAAAGCTTAACATTAGTCAAATAAATAAGAATTAGAATGAAATTTGAATCTGCTGTTAAACTAATTATTAACTTATTAAAATTATTGCCTGTAAACTTTATGAATTACTCTGACATAACCTTTTTAGTACATTAGAAGAAATAACGATCGGACGGAAAAAATATTTCCCCATTATCAATTAATACTCAGATGAAAACTGCACATCGATTATGCGCAAGATTATCAATATTATTAACGTTCGAGAGCATCTATTGATCTAGTTTTGAAGTTTTCAAAGTATAATTTCCTTTTAGAAATAACATCTAACACAATTTGATCGATGTCCACTGAAGAAGAAGCTCTCTTATCCGCATTTCAAAGTAACATCTCCATTATCTATTCGCTCGTTTGGCTTACTAGTCGGACTGATGCCATGGATGAGTACAATCATCTCAATAGAAGTCTTCAAGATCTTATCAATGATTCTCGAATCTTCCAAGAATTCAATCAATGTGAAGTGTATCTTCATTCCAGTTCGGCCGATAGTCGAATAATCCTGATCATTCAAGAAAGTTTCAGTGACTTCTTCATGTCTCACATACATCATCTTCGTCAAGTGTTTACTATTTATATTTATCAGGAAATTAGAAAAGATCATTGCATAAAAAAGTATCAAAAAGTAAGTGAAGATTTGTGTACAATCGATTTGTCTTTGATATTTGTAGATAATTGGTGTTTATGAACAATTAGACGAACTAATTAAGCAAATTAGAAAAGATCGCGAACGACGACGAATCGACGATATTGAAGAACCATTGTCGATCAATTTTTTCAATCATGATTCAACCAATGAGAAATCCATAATGGAATTGAATGGTGAATTCCTTCAAACTCAGCTGTTAATCGATTGTCTCGGTCGAATGCAAGTTACCGATGATGACAAAGATAAGCTCATAGTGTTGTGTAAAAAGCTCTACAAAGGCAATTGCTGTGAGCAAGAGAAAATTTCAGAATTTCAAAAAACTTATACAGCTGACCAGGCGATCGAATGGTATTCGAGAAATTCATTTGTTTATCGTGTGTTAAACAAAGCTCTTCGTGTACAAAATATTGATCTATTGCTTCTGTTTCGTTTCTTTATTTGTGATATTGAAAAACAATTGAAAGATAATCAATATTCATCACCAGTGACCGTTTATCGTGGCCAAGTTCTGTCGAAAACAGAAATGAATTTATTCGAAAAATCAACAAATCAATTTCTTTCCGTGACTTCATTTTTCTCAACTACTCTCGATCCAGCAGTTGCTCTTAGTTACATTGATGTAAACAAAAGCGAAGATGATGAATTACAAGGTGTTCTATTGGAAATCCACGCTACTCCGTCCGAAAATCAATCGAAACCGTTCGCCGATATCTCATCAATGAGTTATTTCAATGACGAAAAAGAAGTTCTATTCATGTTAGGTTCGATTTTTCGAATAAATGGTGTGAATAGTAGTGAAACACCGAAACGAATTCACATGACTCTTTGTAATGATGAGAATCAACATTTCGATTTACTCTTCGATTTTATGAAGAAGAAAAACTGTACGGCGAAGGCACGAGAAGTTAATTTTGGTCGTGTATTGATCGGTATGGCGAAATTCAATGCAGCAGAAAATCATTTTAAGTGTTTAGTCAAAACCTTTTCGTCTGTTCATCCGGATATTTTTCATTGTTATCAAGGTTTAGGCAAAATCTTGTGTGAAAAATGTGATTTCGAGGAGAGTCTTCGATATTTTCAAATGGCACTTGAGATTCTGTACAAAAAACCGAAGTCCAAACAAATTCAAATTGCTTATGTTCATAACAATATTGGTGAAGTATATCACAAGAAAGGTGATGCTGATCAAGCATTGGTATCGTACGAACAAGCCTTGACAATTTTCCGTACACATCTCGGCGAGAGAAATGAAAATGTCGCTTGGTGTTTCAATAATATCGGTATCGTTTATTTCATGATGAAGGACTATCCGAAAGCACTTGAAAATCTTGAAAAAGCATTTGAACTTAAAAGCGAATTACTTCCACCAAAACATCCATGTTTTGGTAATACTTATGTCAATCTTGCGAATGTTTACTATGATTGTCGCGATTACGATCGAGCATTAGGTAACTATGAAGAGGCGTATGAAATTTTCCAAACATCACTCACGCCGCAACATCCGTCGATTGCTCGAGTGCAGAAAAATATCGGTGGTGTCTATGAGATGAATGATGATTTGAGCAAAGCGAACGAATTTTATCATAAAGCATTAAATGTCCGAGAAAAGGTTTTGCATTCTACTCATCCCGATTTATTGGAGATCAAACAAGATATACGACGTATTTCATTGAAAATCTTAGCCGTATCTTAGTTTTATTAGTTGTACATATTTTCTTTGTCTAATTAGCTGGAGAAACTTTTCGTGTGAAGAAGTCTATTATGATTTTGTTGGTTTCTGCCAATTCCTCTATGAGATTCAATAACGTTTCAGACTTCAATATTCGTATCGCCATACTCAATTATTTTGGTAATACTCTCTCGTCACTCTATCATCCGGTAGGATTAATACGTAAATTGCTCGTCAAATCGTAATATCACATTTCCAATTATCACAGAATTATACACCTCATATTTTAAATTTTAAGCAGAGTTGTGATCACTGTTAACTATATATTGGGAGAAACCAACACGCAGCTTTGAGAAAATATTTTCTAATTCAGATTCAATCTACAATGATAACAAATATTGTCATCAACTGCTTCTTGTTTCTGCTTCTAAAGTATAGAACATTTCGGATTTTTTTAATATTTGCTTATAAAACTTGCAGTACTTTCTTTTAGTTTCATAGGTCTGTTTTCGACTTGATGCTTCATATTCATCAATGATATGTTTATCTGTAAATAGTTCAAGTAAACTGTCAAACATGTGACAGTACAATTCCATATGCTCGATGTTCCACTAACAGTGCTTGTGGATGCCTTCCTATGGTAGGCGCTGATAATATTGGTATTTGTGCGTTTCTCTGGAAGTTCTGTTCTCAACTTCTACCGTGTGGATCGTCGCAAGGTTGTTCTGAACCAGATCATGTCTGTGTTCAACATTNGGTATGGCGAAATTCAATGCAGCAGAAAATCATTTTAAGTGTTTAGTCAAAACCTTTTCGTCTGTTCATCCGGATATTTTTCATTGTTATCAAGGTTTAGGCAAAGTCTTGTGTGAAAAATGTGATTTCGAGGAGAGTCTTCGATGTTTTCAAATGGCACTTGAGATTCTGTACCAAAAACCGAAGTCCAAACAAATTCAAATTGCTTATGTTCATAACAATATTGGTGAAGTATATCACAAGAAAGGTGATGCTGACCAAGCATTGGTATCGTACGAACAAGCCCTGACAATTTTCCGTACACATCTCGGCGAGAGAAATGAAAATGTCGCTTGGTGTTTCAATAATATCGGTATCGCTTATTTCATGATGAAGGATTATCCGAAAGCATTTGAACTTAAAAGCGAATTACTTCCACCGAAACATCCATGTTTTGGTAATACTTATGTCAATCTTGCGAATGTTTACTATGATTGTCACGATTACGATCGAGCATTAGGTAACTATGAAGAGGCGTATGAGATTTTCCAAACATCACTCACGCCGCAACATCCGTCGATTGCTCGAGTACAGAAAAATATCGGTGGTGTCTATGAGATGAAAGGTGATTTGAGCAAAGCGAACGAATTTTATCATAAAGCATTAAATGTCCGAGAAAGGGTTTTGCATTCTACTCATCCCGATTTATTGGAGATCAAACAAGACATACAACGTATTTCATTGAAAATCTTAGCCGTATCTTAGTTTTGTTAGTTGTACATTGTAAAATAAATATCTCTGTACATATTTTCTTTGTCTAATTATCTGGAGAAACTTTTCGTGTGAAGGAGTCTATTATGATTTTGTTGGTTTCTGCCAATTCCTCTATGAGATTCGATAACGTTTCAGACGTCAATATTCGTATCGCCATACTCAATTACTTGGTAATATTCTCTCGTCACTCTATCATCCGATAGGATTAATACGTAAATTGTTCGTCAAATCGTAATATCACATTTCCAATTATCACAGAATTATACACCTCACATTTTAAATTTTAAGTAGAGTTGTGATGAGTGTTAACTATATATTGGGAGAAACCAACACGCAGCTTTGAGAAAATATTTTCTAATTCAGATTCAATCTACAATGATAACAAATATTTTCATCAACTGCTTCTTGTTTCTGCTTCTAAAGTATAGAACATTTCGGGTTTTTTTAATATTTGCTTATAAAACTTGCAGTACTTTCTTTTAGTTTCATAGGTCTGTTTTCGACTTGATGCTTCATATTCATCGATGATATGTTTATCTGTAAATAGTTCAAGTAAACTGTCAAACATGTGACAGTACAATTCCATATGCTCGATGTTCCACTAACAGTGCTTGTGGATGCCTTCCTATGGTAGGCGCTGATAATATTGGTATTTGTGCGTTTCTCTGGAAGTTCTGTTCTCAACTTCTACCATGTGGATCGTCGCAAGGTTGTTCTGAACCGGATCATGTCTGTGTTCAACATTNGATATTTAGCCAAATTATCGAGAGTTTGTTTCACTTCATTAACCATGGACGAATAGATACGATGTGAGCTGCAGCAATACTTATGACTCGTTGTCCAATGGTTTGTTTGACATTCTTTATTGCAATAAAGTGCGATCATACAACGAGCACATTTCTTCAACTTCGCATCACCATCGTCATTCGTTTCCTTCTTGCAGTTCCAGCAATGATCTGGCGCCGGTGGTTTGTAGTGTAAGGGATGCTGAGTTTTGTTAAAAAGGTGTGCTAAAACTTGAGCGTCACTTGGTTTTGGACATGGTCGTAGAGGAATATGATTATTAATTTCCTGTGACATTGTTGTGAGCAATGTATGCAGAGACGTCGGAAAAACAGCGACCTTTTTATATCGTTGATCGATTCTAATACTTGCATTCGATTTTTGTCGACTGGCGAAACGAATACAGATTGTGTGTCCGTGCTTGAGAAGACCATAGTTGAATTCTGTACCCAGTACTGAACTATCGACGAAATCGATGAGGATATTTTTCTTTCCCTCTCTATCGCACACAGTAACTTGATGGTCAGTTTGATTAGTGAGAGTATTTGTTGAATTTGAAATTTCGCCAAGAAAAAACCAAGCTCGGATGGGTACATAGTTATCGAAGCAAGCTTCTCGATAATGGGTGCGTACACGAGATTCTTGTCCCGCAATGGGAAGTTCGTAGTAGCACGGAAATAATTTGCGATTGGTAAATATAACGTCGCGCACTTTGTCTGATTGTCTTACAAGCATTCGGTTTCCGGTACTGATTTTCCTATTGGCAGATGGTCGCATTGCTCCAATCATACGTATCATAGCGGCTCTTGTTTCGACAGACTCATCACCTTGACCAAACAGCATTTTTCTCCTTAATTTTTAGGGATACTTACAGGAAGTTGATAATGACGGGCGCTGAAATTTAGAAGTTCTGGCTAAGCAAAAAAATTCTTTTTGTTATTTTTTTTTCTGTTTTCACTTATACTGAATAAATACATATGTAGGAAGAAAATGTAAAAGCAAAAACAAAAGTAAAATATATGACAAACAGTGTTGATAAGAGAAGCAAATATAGCATTAGTTGCCAAATCAACAATGCTTATGATAATTGCGAATATACCACTGCCAGACAACAGTTTAACACAAGAGGAGAATTCACTATTGCCAGAGACTCGATACTTTTTGCTGTTAATTTGATTTCCATCTTGGGTAATCGTATTTGACTGTGCTGCAGTTCCACGTTGAAGTACAGCGTTCGTGAAAGAAAACCGTACAACAAGGATAGGTATATGTATGCTAATATTGTAATGATATCCTGTGAGTTATTTGTGAAACAATACTCACAAATCGCAATGCATCTCGAGGGAGTGCTTCTTATTGCGTAAATAATCAGCGATACTATCATTCTCATCCTGCTCACTTCATCTTCTGTATTTTTACTCAAAGTGAAGGATATTTTTTCGATATTTTCAATCGTACGCGTACGCCTGAAATGAAGAATAAAAACAATCAATAATACTTCCATTCAGTTCTTGTTTGATGAAATCTAATAAATTGATGGAATTTTGAAATATTTGGTACGTTTTTGGTAACGAATGTTGCCTTATAAAGCTTCCCTAATCAAAAGACTACTTTGCACAGATGATATTCAAAGGCATTGTAAAAGACCCTGAGTCTTCCTCCTAGTCTGGAGAAATGTTTAATTGAACTGATCATAATTTATGAGAAACGCTAGATTTGTATTCTAGATTAACGAGAAGTTCACGCGAAACAGTGTTTACCATTAATGGGAACCGAAAAACGGCTACTGACTACTACGTTCAGAGGATCACTCGTTGTATTCTTTATGTACTGACATTAATGAATTTAGTATACTATATGCTCTCTTCTGCTCGTTACTTTGATGCTTTGTCACCTCTTGGCGTAGAAGTAGATTCATTAGCTGACATTTTTTCATTTGGTGTTACACCAACAATTCTTACTTATTCAATCGATAAATGGTCATTACGTTTGTTTGTCTTCCGTAAGTTTAATTTGGTACACATAACGTATATAACCATCAGTTTCTTTTGATTTGTAGCCTAGCTGGTGTTTGGCGTTTATCTCAATATGGTGTTAATCCACCTGCTGCCAGTGTTGTTGCATTACTCGCATTATTTTCATATGTATCATCAATTACTATGATTGGAGTTGCATTTTCAATGGTTGCTACATTACGTCACCCAAAATTATACAAATATATTTGTTCACACAATATTCGTGATTACTTAAGTTTTTACCCGCATTTATTTATGTAACTTAAAATCATTTTTCTTACTAAATGTTATGATGAGGGTGAAAATAAGAATTGCGCGTAACAACAAGCATCTGATTTAGGATATTCTACATAAAATAGATTTGAAATAATTGAAAAATGTTGAAGTTCTGTTTATGGTGGATTTTGACAATCTCTGTTAGTCTTGTAAAGTTTGATTTGTTCTTCTACATCATACAGCACTCCAGATGGACTGGTTCCACTATGATTTTAATAGGTGATGCATCTGGAATGATTGCTTTCCGCATAGTAACACCGAAAACTACGCAACACGCCATGAAAAATGCAACATTTGAGATGTCAATAGAGTTTTCGCCAACCTCTATATGAATACCACTTCCTGAACTAAATCCAAAATTACAGCCGCTAACTTCTATATGACCTGTTCCATTTTGGAGCATTTTCACCACGTTGATTGCGTGATCATCATTGATCCAACGAAAAAAAGGAGAGTGATAATTCAATAATATATCAATTTTCTTAATGTCGGATGCTGTTAAAATACAATGCCCATAATGCTTCAAGCATGATTCGAATATATCTCTCTTCTCTGCCGGTAACATGTTTCGTAGCGGACGTGGATAATATGACTGCATATTTGTGACTCTGCTTTCGTTCTGTAAATTGTATCTGCAATAAAACGAAAAGCGAAATGAATTCTCAAGCTTGAGAAAAAGTGTTGGAGAAATTTTCTTGGTAAAAAAATATATTTATCGATACCGTTACTATGATTATTGTTGGTGAAAGAAACTTCAGCACTGTTTGTATGACACTTTCCTTTATCTTAAGAGTCGTATTATTTATATTCGAAAGACACATGTTCATCTAGTCACAACCAAGAGAGAATGAACAAATGAGAGAAAGACAACGGTATACATTCTACAGAAGATCGTACGAAAATATTAAGCAGTAATTATCTGATTACTTTTCGTTGATAGTGAGCTATATAACTATATGAGATTCTTATTTTAAGATAGCATCCTTACTAGCTAAATGTGACAAAGACAATCTTTATTTTAGGAAGAAAACTGAATATCTGCATAATATATGTAATCTCTCGTGAAGCTATGCCAAGAAAATTATAGATTTGCGAATGAAGAGGGAGAGACAGACAAGAGGAAAAACAGATAGGTCGCGAACTATCTGAACACATATATATGGAATACATGAATATGTGTGTGTTTGTAGGAAAATTCTAACAACGAGAAAGGAAAATACATGATGGCGTCATGTATATGGACTATTCCATATCACATCACGGTATAAATCCAATGTGATGGAAAGCAAAGCTTTTTTCATCAATACGATGCAAAAGAGTAGAATAAGAAGTAATATTATTGCAGATATCGCTCTTTGAAGTCATAGTAGAAGAGAAAGAGAAGCGAGCAAAATTTTGTATAAATCCTAACAAATAGCAAACGTACATAGTATTGGAACATATACGTGACGATTCTTAGTAGAAAAGAGATGTGCATCAACGATGAATACTACACCATTATTTGTCTCTACCCCTCAAAAGTAGAATCGTTTTGTTGGAAAAACACTCGTCTACAGATGAAAGAGGAAGAAAAAAATAATATCGTGTCAAAGTACATCAATATATACCGAAGTAAGGGCACTGATGGAATTATCCGATCGAAGGGAAGAAGCGAAAGGATAAATATAGAATATATACTGGCCATGATACTAAGCGCGACACTGTAGAGAAAATCACGGAGAATATCCAGAGAGTGCTCTTTTTCGTGTTTAGTCTGTCTACGTATGCGTATATCTTATAAGATAGATAAAAATATAATCTCAGTGTGATGTTAGCTCCATACTGATTTCTGTACACTGTTCATTACGGTCACAAATTTAGTCCAAAATATGCTGAATTTGCAGTGAATTGTTAGATATTATTGATCAGTTACATGCAGCAATAGTGACGATATTTTGACTTTTGGCTTCACTGCATACATTTTCTAACAAAACTTAACTGTATTTTAACAAAATTGTTTTTTCTTAAACAATAGGCTGGTCCCATTTGCGTCACTCACCGTATTATGCTGCTGTATGACACTGGGCGGCGAAGGGTTAGAAATAGATCACCTCATTTATTAAATATATCGTTTCTGCACTGGAAATCGTGAACATATAACGAGAAATATTCTTGTAGAGATCATTCATTCCGCTTTATGATGTTACGAATGTAAGAAACCACCACATATATGATTCGATATTTTAAAACACTCATTCTTGTCATGTAAAATTGTTCAATGAAGTATTGCATTCATAATTTCAAGTTCCATGCTCGTCATGTTCGATAAAGTCCTTTTCGATAGAAAATATGGATTATAAATGATTACGGGGGCAAAATTTCGATTTGTCGAAGTGTGTTAGTTTCAGCAGCACTTAACGCCTCCTTGTTTTTTATCGACAAATTTTACTTCTTTGCGTGGTACAAAAGAAAAACATTAACGAAAGAGAACACGGCACACTTGTATTATTATCTAAAACAAAAGTGGATGAATCAAAGGAACGTACTTTTTCTTGATCAATTCGTACTAAAAAGACCTTATAAATTCTCCATTGTCTGTTGATTAGAGTAAAAAAGAAAAACATAANTAAATCAGTTTTCTTCATCTTCATCTGTGCTCACAAATTCAAACAGATATTTAGCCAAATTATCGAGAGTTTGTTTCACTTCATTAACCATGGACGAATAGATACGATGTGAGCTGCAGCAATACTTATGACTCGTTGTCCAATGGTTTGTTTGACATTCTTTATTACAATAAAGTGCTATCATACAACGAGCACATTTCTTCAACTTCGCATCACCGTCGTCATTCGTTTCCTTCTTGCAGTTCCAGCAATGATCTGACGCCGGTGGTTTGTAGTGTAAGGGATGCTGAGTTTTGTTAATAAGGTGTGCTAAAACTTGAGCGTCACTTGGTTTTGGACATGGCCGTAGAGGAATATGATCATTAATTTCCTGTGACATTGTTGTAAGCAATGTATGCAGAGACGTCGGAAAAACAGCGACCTTTTTATATCGTTCATCGATTCTAATACTTGTATTCGATTTTTGTCGACTGGCGAAACGAATACAGATTGTGTGTCCGTGCTTGAGAAGACCATAGTTGAATTCTGTACCCAGTACTGAATTATCGACGAAATCGATGAGGATATTTTTCTTCCCCTCTCTATCGCACACAGTAACTTGATGATTAGTTTGATTATTGAGAGTATTTGTTGAATTTGAAATTTCGCCAAGAAAAAACCAAGCTCGGATGGGTACATAGTTATCGAAGCAAGCTTCTCGATAATGGGTGCGTACACGAGATTCTTGTCCCGCAATGGGAAGTTCGTTGTAGGACGGAAATAATTTGCGATTGGTAAATATAACGTCGCGCACTTTGTCTGATTGTCTTACGAGCATTCGGTTTCCGGTACTGATTTTTCTATTGGCAGATGGTCGCATTGCTCCAATCATACGTACCATAGCGGCTCTTGTTTCCACAGACTCATCACCTTGACCAAACAGCATTTTTCTCCTTAATTTTTAGGGATGCTTACAGGAAATTGATAATGACGGGCGATGAAGTTTAGAAGTTCTGGCTAAGCAGAAAGTTTCTTTTCGTTATTTTTTTTTCTGTTTTCACTTATACTGAATAAATACATGTGTAGGAAGAAAATGTAAAAGCAAAAACAAAAGTAAAATATATGACAAACAGTGTTGATAAGAAATGCAAAAATAACATTTTTTGCCAGACAACGGTTTAACACAAGAGGAGAGTTCACTATTGCCAGAGACTCGATACTTTTTGCTGTTATTTGATTTCCATCTTGGGTAATCGTATTTGACTGTGCTGCAGTTCCACATTGAAGTACAACGCTCGTGAAAGAAAGCCGTACAACGTATATGTATGCTAATATTGCAATGATCTTCTGTGAGTTATTTGTGAAACAATACTCACAAATCGCAATGCATCTCGAGGGAGTGCTTCTTATTGCGTAAATAATCAGCGATACTATCATTCTCATCCTGCTCACTTCATCTTCTGTATCTTTACTCAAAGTGGAGGATGTTTTTTCGAAATCAAAACTTTTATCAAGAATGTTTGTGATTGTTTTCTTTTTTTTGATATTATCAATCGTACACCTGAAATGAAGAATAAAAACAATCAATAATCCTTCCATTCAGTTCTTGTTCGATGAAATCTAATAAATTGATGGAATTTTGAAATATTTGGTACGTTTTTGGTAACGAATGTTGCCTTATAAAGCTTCCCTAATCAAAAAACTACTTTGCACAGACGATATTCAAAGGCATCGTAAAAGACCCAGAGTCTCCCTCCTAATCTGGAGAAATGTTTAATTGAACTGATCATAGTTTATGAGAAACGCTAGATTTCTATTCTAGATTAACGAGAGGTTCACGCGAAACAGTATTTACTATTAATGGGAACCGAAAAACGGCTACTGACTACTACGTTCAGAGGATCACTCGTTGTATTCCTTATGTACTGACATTAATGAATTTAGTATACTATATGGTCTCTTCTGCTCGTTACTTTGATGCTTTGTCACCTCTTGGCGTAGAAGTAGATTCATTAGCTGACATTTTTTCATTTGGTGTTACACCAACAATTCTTAATGATTCAATCGATAAATGGTCATTACTTTTATTTGTTTTCCGTAAGTTTAATTTGGTACACATAATGTATATAACCATCAGTTTCTTTTGATTTGTAGCCTAGCTGGTGTTTGGTGTTTATCTCAATATGATATTAAATCCAGCTGCTGCTGGTGTTGTTGCACTACTCGCATTATTTTCATATGTATCATCAGTTACTATGACTGGAGTTGCATTTTTAATGCTTTGTACATTACATCGCCCAAAATTATAAAAATATATTTGTTCACACAATATTCGTGATTACTTGAGTTTTCACCCGCATTTATTTGTGTAACTTAAAATCATTTTTCTTACTAAATGTTATGATGAGGGTGAAAATAAGAATTGCGCGTAACAATAAGCATCTGATTTAGGATATTCTACATAAAATAGATTTGAAATAATTGAAAAATGTTAAAGTTCTGTTCATGGTGGATTTTGACAATCTCTGCTAGTCTTGTAAAGTTTGATTTGTTCTTCTACATCATACAGCACTCCAGATGGACTGGTTCCACTATGATTTTAATAGGTGATGCATCTGGAATGATTGCTTTCCGCATAGTAACACCGAAAACTACGCAACACGCCATGAAAAATGCAACATTTGAGATGTCAATAGAGTTTTCACCAACCTCTATATGAATACCACTTCCTGAACTAAATCCAAAATTACAGCCGCTAACTTCTGTATGACCTGTTCCATTTTGGAGCATTTTCACCACGTTGATTGCGTGATCATCATTGATCCAACGAAAAAAAAGAGAGCGATGATTCAATAATATATCAATTTTTTTTATGTCGGATGCTGTTAAAACACAATGCCCATAATGCTCCAAGCATAATTCGAATATACCTCTCTTCTCTGCCGGTGACATGTTTCGTAGCGGACGTGGAAACAATTCGAGTGGCAGTGGATAATATGGTTGCATATTTGTGACTCTGCTTTCGTTCTGTAAATTGTATCTGCAATAAAACGAAAAGCGAAATGAATTCTCAAGCTTGAGAAAAAGTGTCGGAGAAATTTTCTTGGTGAAAAAATATATTTATCGATACCGTTACTATGATTATTGTTGGTGAAAGAAACTTCAGCACTGTTTGTATGACACTTTCCTTCATCTTAAGAGTCGTATTATTTATATTCGAAAGACACATGTTCATCTAGTCACAACCAAGAGAGAATGAACAAATGAAAGAAAGACAAGGGTACACATTCTACAGAAGATCGTACGAAAATATTAAGCAGTAATTATCTGATTACTTTTCGTTGATAGTGAGCTATATAACTATATGAGCTTCTTATTTTAAGATAGCATCCTTACTAGCTAAATGTGACAAAGACAATCTTTATTTTAGGAAGAAAACCGAATATCTGCATAATATATGTAATCTCTCGTGAAGCTATGCCAAGAAAATTATAGATTTGCGAATGAAGAGGGAGAGACAGACAAGAGGAAAAACAAATAGGTCGCGAACTATCTGAACACATATATATGGAATACATGTGTGTTTGTAGGAAAATTCTAACAACGAGAAAGGAAAATACATGATGGCGTCATGTATATGGACTATTCCATATCACATCACAGTATAAATCCAATGTAGTGGAAAGCAAAGCTTTTTTCATCAATACGATGCAAAAGAGCAGAATAAGAAGTAATATTATTGCAGATATCGCTCTTTGAAGTCATAGTAGAAGAGAAAGAGAAGCGAGCAAAATTTTGTATAAATCCTAACAAATAGCAAACGTACATAGTATTGGAACATATATGTGACGATTCTTAGTAGAAAAGAGATGTGCATCAACGATGTATACTACACCATTATTTGTTTCTACCCCTCAAAAGTAGAATCGTTTTGTTGGAAAAACACTCGTCTACAGATGAGAGAAGAAGAAAAAAATAATATCGTGTCAAAGTACATCAATATATACCGAAGTAAGGGCACTGATGGAATTATCCGATCGAAGGGAAGAAGCGAAAGGATAAATATAGAATATATACTAGCCATGATACTAAGCGCGGCACTGTAGAGAAAATCACGGAGAATATCCAGGGAGTACTCTTTTTCGTGTTTAGTCTGTCTACGTATGCGTATATCTTATAAGATAGATAAAAATATAATCTCAGTGTGATGTTAGCTCCATATTGATTTCTGTACGCTGTTCGTTACGGTCACAAATTTAGTCCAAAATATGCTGAGTTTGCAGTGAATTGTTAGATATTATTGATCAGTTACATGCAGCAATAGTGACGATATTTTGATTTTTGGCTTCACTGCATAGATTTTCTAACAAAATTTAACTGTATTTTAACAAAATCGTTTTTTCTTAAACAATAGACTGGCCCCATTTGCGTCACTCACCGTATTATGCTGCCGTATGACACTGGGCGGCGAAGAGTTAGAAATAGATCACCTCCTTTATGAAATGCATCGTTTCTACAATGGAAATTGTGAGCATATAACGAGAAATACTTTTGTAGAAATCATATATTCTACTTTATGATGTTACGACTGCGTAAGACACCACCATATATATGATTCAGTATTTTAAAAGACTCATTTCTGTCGTGTAAAATTGTTTAATGAAGTATTGCATTCATAATTTCAAGTTCCATGCTCGTCATGTTCGATAAAGTCCTTTTCGATAGAAAATGCGAACTATAAATGATTACAGCGGCAAAATGTCGATTTGTCGAAGTGTTAGTTTCAGCAGCACTTAACGCCTCGTTGTTTTTTATCGACAAATTTTACGTCTTTGCGTGGTACAAAAGAAAAACATTAACGAAAGAGAACACGGCACACTTGTATTATTATCTAAAACAAAAGTGGATGAATCAAAGGAACGTACTTTTTCTTGATCAATTCGTACTAAAAAGACCTTATAAATTCTCCATTGTCTGTTGATCAGAGTAAAAAAGAAAAACATAATCTCTAGGTAACGAATCATTGTGATTTCTAATTGCCTAACAAGTGGAATCTATTTTTAAGAATATCTATGCTCTTTCGATTGTTTTCACTTATGCACTGGAATAAAAAATTGCCTATAAAAATGGATAACGATTCGCGTTTCTTGCCATACTCTCAAACTTTGCAACTTCATTGTTAATACGAAATGATGAAAGTATTACTATTTGTTCCTTTTCTGCTACCAATTCTTATTATCCATGGATCACATTTTCGCGGTGGCATTATTTTCTGGTGAGTTGATAACTATACATATTCTATAAAAAATCCTTCTCTCACCGTTATCTGCCAGGCGACCATGGAACGCTACTCCGAGTGGCTCATCCGCCGCGTTTCAAGTACGCGAAAGATTTTCATGGCGTCGAGGATATCCTGGTTGCTATTGTGATGATACAACTATTGCTACGAAA